CCCCCCCCCCCAGGGCGTCTGGGCAGATGGGTGCCCAGTACCACCCAGCACCAAGGACAGGACGACAAACCAGAAGGCGCCAGCACGTGCAAGGTTAGAAGCCAGTGTCACCTGATTTCGGAGCAGGTTAGTTTGAGCTACGAGATGAGCCTGCAGTTTGCCTTGGCACCACTGGGGGGCGGCTTTCTCAAGCAGCGAGACAGGCTGGGGGTGGGGAGGGGAGGTCAAGGTCAAGGCCAAGGAGCGTAGAGAAACAGGAGGGAGGTGGGGAGAAAGAAACAGAGACACAGACATTAAACACGACGTCCAAACAGTCTCCAGTGCAGTGACAGACACCTGCCACCCTCCAGAGGGCCAGCCCCCCCCAGAGCAGGTAAAGGCCCCGAGGCTGAGAATTAAGGGGTGCCCCGAGCGGGGCGGAGAAGGGGGTGAACTCCAACTGCAAAGCAAAATGTGAGAATCGTTAGCAGGGGCAGAGGGGCTCGGCAAGCGCAGTCCTGCCCAGGGCTGGGTGGGGGGCTCCGCCCGCAGACCCTCACCTGGAGAGTGTGTGTGCAACCTCTGCCCCACCCCCGCCCGGTTTGTTCCAGCTGTGGCAGGGTCGCTTGGGATCCGGTGAAGGAATTCCAGCCAGAGCACGCCAGGCCGGGAGGGGCCGGGCCAGTGAAACCCAAGCCAGGCCTGTTCTCATCCTGGAAAGCAGCCTCAGAGCAGGCAGAGGGGCCAGGGGACAGGGCGGCACTACAGGTTGGGCCAGGAGGGGGGCCTCACCCAGGGGCCCACAAGAGCCTCTCACTCAGGCCCTGGACCCAGCGCCGTCCCCACCCCAGCTCTTCGGCCAGACCTACCGGGGCCAGACCTACCGGGACCGTGAAGCCATCTGGCAAGGGGGTTGAGGATGCCCGCAGGCCAGGGCGCAGTGACAAACAAGCCTGCCAAGGGTGCAGTGAACGCAGCACAGGAAGAAGGCTCCCCCGGGGTGGGGGGGGAGGGTTGGCGCGGGCTTGGGACCCCTGCGGCCCTGCTGCCCGCCACTCCCTGAAGATTCCCCGGCAGCACGCAACACCCCCAGCCTTACCTTAGCAATTTTGGCATCATCCTTCTTCTTGGCGGTTTGGAGGGACTCATAATGGTGCCGGGCACTGTCGTAGTCAACCAGCTTCCGCCCACGCTTGGCGATGCGTGACTGGGGGACAGAAGGAGGAGGGGGCTGAACAGGGCCTGGTGCCCACGCTGAGATACTGACCCGGGGAAACTGGGTCACAGGCACGGTGACCTAGATGTACCCGGAGGGCTCAGGGCAGCCGACTCCAGGCTCAAGTCCGTCTAAGACGTGCCTGCGACTGTCTGTCGGACATTTCTGGTGGCAAAGAGCTCACCCTTCGAGGCAGTCCGTGCCCTCTGTGGTCCTTTCTTCTATGGAGGTCCTCGCAACAGTGAACCATTTTTGTCAGTTCCTGCTGGCCGCGTCTGATGAGCCTCCTCCCTTGGCCCTCAGCTCCTTAAAGAGGCCTCCTGGGCCTCGGGCTTCTCTCCCCCTGGGCCACCACCACCTGCCTCCCTCCTGCTCTCCCCATAAGGCACCTTCGGGAGCCCGAGGCATCTGCACCGGGTGGCCGAGGGGGCCAGCGTGGAGCGGGACCCCTGCACCCACCCACCCAGGGGATCGGGTCCAGCACTACGGTCACCACCTGAGCTCCAGACAACTCTGCTTGCATGTCTGGAGCACCTGGGGTCCCAGTCACCTCGGCGGAGATCCTGGCACACTGACAGGTCCTAAGTCACCCGGGCTCAGCAAAGGCAGCTGGCTTTTTGAACACGCGAAGTTGCACAAACACACCCAGGTAAGAGGCGACACGCACAGCTATACACACCTTCCCTTCCAAGCACACAGAGCCTAACACAGGGCACACATACCCAGGCCTTCCAGCCCCTTAATACACCTCATCAACCCTACAGGCACTCCACAGGGACATGGCCACACACTTACATGCCCCATGAGGTCTCTTTCCATAGTCTGGAGACCCAAAGATACAGGGCTTCCAGCTCAGAAAGGCCCAGGTCTGGGGGCTGGCAGGCTGGTCTCAAAGGGAGCAGACCTGGAGGACGAAGTGCCAGGCGACGGGCGGGAGGCCTGCCTTCAGCCCGGGGCTGCCCTCTCCCCGGCCCCGGCACCCCCGTCCCTCTCTCCCTCTCCAGCTCCCCGACACAGGCTGCCAGGCCGCAGCAGGGTGGACAGACCAAGCGCCTCTCACCTTGATGTCAGGGAACTGGCCCAGGTACGTGTCCATGGTCAGCAGCGCCTGGTCCACCAGCTTCTGGTGGTAATCCACCCAGAGCAGGTCATTGTTCTGCGGGAGATGAGAGCACAGCAGCGCGCACCAGGGGAGCCGGCCCACAGCGGGTCCGGCTCTCACCTCCCAGGGACCCGGGGGCCAGCTCTGACCCATCGCTTCACGGCTGGGCGGCTCCTCAGAACCTCAGCCTCCTTATCTATAAACTGGAGTCACACCTCCTGCCTTTTCAAAACGTGACCCTGAGGATCAGATAGGCCCAGGGCTGGTGGGGCCAGGGAGGGAGGCTTCCTGAGCCAGGAGACACAGCGCAGAAAGGGGAGGTGCCTCAGGACCACATCAGGAAACCATCTCAGCGCGAGGGCTGTCAGAGAGGGAGGTGGACTTGTCCAAGAGCACACAGCACGTGAGGACCAGAAGGGCTGGTCCCAGAGGGTGCCGCAGGGTGCGACAGGCGGCCAGCTGAGGTCAGAAGGGCCCTTGGGGAAGGGCCCAGGCCACCGGTCCCACACTCACCTCAGTGATCTTGTTCGCTTCATCCCTGCCAGGCCAGTCAGGCTCGTACACCTCCTGCAGACACTCGTTCAGCTTCTTGGAGGCCTCATGCATGGCTGTGGGGCAGAAGGGCCATGCTGCAGCCAGGGCCATGGGGACCCCTGATTGGGGGTGGGGGGTGGGGCGGTTACCCTTGCCCCACTCCTGAAGTCCCAGGAGGTAGGTGGACATCCCTGACAGCCCTGCTGCCCCTTCCCAGCTCTGCGCCCATCAGCTCCACATGGAGATGGCCCCCTCTCTGTGTCCCAGGAAGCCCGCCCATCCAGGCCAGGTCTGCCCCTTACCTTTGACGGAGGCCAGGTAGGTCCGGAGATCCTTCTGCAGCCGGGTGCCCTCCGTCTTCAAAGAGGCAGACGAGAAGAAGGTGAGGGCCTGGGGCACAGCCCACACCTGCCCTCTGCCTCCTGCACCTCATGGACACCTGCCACGGATGGGCTGTCCACGGCAAGGCACTGAGGCCTACAGGATACCAGGCAGGAAAACACCCCGTGCCGGGGCATGGCAGCTACCGCCTCTCTGGCCACTGACACACTGAGCTCCCTCTTGGGAGCCCTGTGCCCGAAGGAACATTCACCCAAGGGTGTCAGCACCTTCTCTCTCAGACACTATTCTCAGCCCTGTAAGGAAGGCAAGAAGACAGAGACCCCTCCACCCTGGACGAGACACTGCAGCACGGTCGAAGGACACACACACGCACAGCCCAGGTGTAGGATGGGACCAGCATGTGGCAGGCCTGCCCTCGGGTAACCATGAACCAGGCAACCAACAAGTCCAGGAACATGACCGGGGGTACAGGAACCACCCAGCACCTTGTCTTGAAAGCTTAGGTGGTTGGTGCCTGAGGCCAGCGGACTCCCACTGCATCCCACCAGGGTCAGGAGGGTTCTGATGGGGAGAGGAGAGGTCTGGAAGGGGAGGCCTTTGGAAGGAGCTCAGAGAAGTATGGGGGTCATGTCCAGGCCTCTCGGGACACTGGTCCAGCTGAGAGGGAAGATGTAGGAGGAAAGGCTGATGAGGGAGAATGGGCCAGGGAGTGAAGCACCCTGAGCTGGGAGGGCAGCTCCCGGGGTTTCCTGGAACAGCAGGCAGGGGCAGCAGAGAGGGTGGAACCACAGGCACAGCCTCAACTCCCTCTGGCCATCAGCACCACAAAAGGCAGGAGCAGGAAAGCTGAGCTCCAGGGGCGAGGAGGGGCGAGCAGGCTGAGGCCAGCGGGGAAAGTCTGAGACCACCGCCAGGGACCGCCAGGGAGATGCTGAAGTTTTCAGAAGCCGTGTGGAAAGCGGGAGAAAGCACACATAGGCTTTGGGGCCGTGAAGACCCAGCTCTGTCCCTTACTAGACACGTAGCCTCTCTGAGCCTCGGTCTCCTTGCCTGTCAACTGGGTCGAATGACCCCAGCCTGGGAGACCACAAGCAAATGTGCGTGGAGTGCCTGCAGGGGCGCCTGGCACATCACAGGCCTTCAGGGAAATGGCTTAAGTGAGCTGGGCCAGGCCCGAGGTCGTGAAGGCCAGCCTCAGGAAGTGGGCTGTACACTGAGAACAATGATGGGGGACCTAGGGGGACACAGGAGACCGGGGCCTCTGGAGGGCCTTGACGGCAGACCTCCTGGGCTCTCCCTACCCTGACACCAGCCTATGCCTCAGTGACACCTTGTTTTGAAGTCCCTCCCCCTGGTGGAGGGTTAGATAGATGACAGCATTGAGCCACAGTCCCAGGAGACCTGAGCCCCCACAGAGCTCCACCCAGCCAGCCTGGAGCTCCCGCAGGAGACGGAAGGTGGTGGTCCACCACTGCAGGTCAAGGCTCCAGCCGAGGGCAGGCAGGGACCCAGCCCCCCTGCACAGGCTCACCCCCAACACCCTCAAACCTCTCCTGTCCCCCTGCAAACAGGCCCCCCTCTTTACAGCCAGAGCCCTTTCCTCCTGCCCTGGTGTCCTCAGAGCTCCAGGCAGCAGCTCGTCACTGGGGCCGGCACTTTCCACACACCAGCTCTCAACACCACTGTTTCCACCTAATGAAGAGGAAACTGAGAGGTTGCATGACTTGCCCAGGGTCACACAGGCACTGGGAGAGCCGGAGAGAACCTCCAATACCTGGCCACTCAGGCCCCAGTTTGCCGAATGGGTCACAAAGGGGCCGGAACAGGCAGCTGCCTATTCGTTATGATGAATGCCTCCATGGGACAGCAGAGACACTGTGCAAGGAGGGTTTCAGCACATCGCATTTGAAAGGAAACCCTCGGGCTTCCCTGGTGGCGCAGTGGTTGAGAGTCCGCCTGCCGATGTGGGGGACGCAGGTTCGTTTCCTGGTCCAGGAGGATCCCACGTGCCGCGGAGCGGCTGGGCCCGTGAGCCATGGCTGCTGGGCCTGCGCGTCCAGAGCCTGTGCTCAGCAATGGGAGAGGCCACAACAGTGAGAGGCCCGCGTACCACAAAAAAATCAAAATAAATAAGTAAATAAATAAAAGAAGGAAACCCTCTCTAAAACTCCTTCAATGGAGTTTTGGAGTATAAAACCCTGGCCACATATAATTCTTAGGAACATCCAAATTTGAGGTGTGCTGATTAAAGATTAAAGTACGAAACAAAAGGCCAATCCACAAGCATTCAAACCTCTCTGGAATTCCCTCAGGGATCGCATGTGGACCCCATGTGACTGGGGAACAAGGAAGGGTCCACCCCATTCCTGATGCAGCCTTGATGCACCCCGCCCCCAGTCTTCACAACTCAGTGCTTTGGTGGTAGAGATGAAGACTCAAGTATGTTTGTGATGTAATGTTATTGTGTTCATCTGATGTCACAGAATCTTCCAGACCCAGCTTAGACTCCATCACCTCGCTCCCCTCCCCTGAGTCCCCCAGCGTCTGTCTCCAATGCACCCTGAGAAAGGGGTCGCCCGTGGAGGGGGGTGTTGCCACGCTTGCCCAGGCTTCAGGCCGTACCAGGGCCCCTTGTGCTTTCCAAACAAGGCCACGCTGTGAGCAGGCACACTGGGTACAGATGTGCAAGGCCCACCCTGTGCCAACTGCAGCTGGTCCCAGGGTCGACGCCCCCCACCCCGGGGCCCCCAGCCAGCTGCCTCCTCAGGCGGGCGCCCAAGCCACCTCCCCTCCACACTGGCTCTGAGAAACAACTCTCCGGAGGCTCCTGGGCTCTAACAAACACCTTACAGAGCAGCTGGGGGAGGATAAAGTTCTGGAGCCCCTGCCCCTCAGCCTGCTCTCCTGGCTCCGGACTTGGGAGTCTTGGAAGGGCACCACAGCCTGGGACCGACGGCAGGTGCAGCTCCATGGGGTGGCCAGCAGCCAGCCCATGTCCCCCGAACCTCCCTCCAAGGGCTCTCCCTGCCTCCCTGACGTCAGCCCCCCTCTTCCCAGGGAATCCAGGGGGCAGGGAAGTCCTCCCCTGTGTGGACCTCTCTGGCTCCAGCTGACTCTTACCCCTCTGCAATCAATGCCAGAGGAGCTTCAAATGACAGATAGCCAGAAATGACCCCTTGGAGCAGAGGCCTGGGTGGATCCTGGGGGATGAGAAGGAATCAGACCTGCCCCACCTCAGTGACAGATAAACAGCAACAATGAGCCCTGGGGTGCAAGGTCCAGGTGGCTCCTAGGAGGAAGAGCTTGGGCCACCTGGAGGACCCAGGATGGCTTCCAGGAGGGCCTGAGCTGGGTTTGAAGCACTCAGGTGGGCGGGAGTGTGAGTGGGCCCTCCAGGGTTTCACAGTGCAGGGACAGGGCGCAGCGGCAGGGATGGCGCAACTAATACTGAGCAGGCCCAGAGGAGCTATGTAAACTGGGTCCCTGTGAGAGCAGGTGACAGCAAGGTGACCTACACCCTCTCCTAGGACCCACCCCCACAGGAAGGGGTGGGAGATTCACTTCCCTGAAGCCCAAACTCCCTGCCATCCTGAACTCAACTAGGGCTGGCCCACTAGGCCTGGTGTTCCCAGGTGAAAAGCAGGGCTCCCTGTGCTCAAGCTTCACCTGGCCTCTCCCAAGCCGCCCCCCCCGCCCCCCTCCAAGCCCTGCAGCTCCCTGAATTCACTCCCCTGAGAATAGTGACCCTCACACCTTTGTAAATCCTGAACCCCACCCCCAGGTCCTAGTCACCTCCACACACCAATCAAATCCAGAACTGCCCAGCTGCCCTAACTCCTAAGGGAGGGTTACCCCAAGCCTCAAACGAGACCTTAAATTTGCCCACCCTGCTTCCACCCTTGGCCCCTGAGAAGCCGACCACCCCACCCAGCCTGAGGGCAGAGCACCAGCTCAAATGACCGCCCATGTCCACAGCCAGGTAGCCACCAGCACTGGCTATCTTTAACCCTGGCCTCACTCCCCAGCCCCTCTGGGCAAAGATCAGTGGGTGACTCCTTGCCCAGAGCCAGCGACCCAGAGGGGACTTCAGAGTTCTTGTTCAAACCTCTATTTTGCAAGTGAGAAATCTGAGGCCCAAAGGGCAAGGGCTCACACAGAGCCACAAAGCCAGTAGATGTCTCTGTTCTGGGCCTTGAAACATTCCTGGGCTGGAGGACAAGCAGCCATGGGGGCTCCCAACCCTGTTCTGGGGAACCGCTCAGTTCAGCTTCTCTGGCAGGTGAGGGTAGACTTGGTCCTGGGCCCTTTCTCAGCTGGCACCCCGGCTCTCTCCCAGCAGGCTCCCCTGCCCTCTCCCAGCATGCACCCCTGCCCTCTCCCAGCTGCTCCCTTGCCCGCTCCCAGCATGCTCCCGGCCCTCTCCCAGCATGCTCTTTGGCCCTCTCCCAGCTGCTCCCTTGCCCTCTCCCAGCATGCACCCCCCTCTCCCAGCATGCTCTTTGGCCCTCTCCCAGCATGCACCACTACCCTCTTTCAGCTGCTCCCCTGCCCTCTCCCAACATGCACCCCTGCCCTCTCCCAGCATGCACCCCAGCCCTCTCCCAGCATGCCCTTTGGCCCTCTCCCAGCATGCACCCCTGCCCTCTCCCAGCATGCTCTTTGGCCCTCTCCCAGCTGCTCCCAGCCCCTGGCCAGGGAGCTGTCAAGAGTTTTCCAAAGGAGGCCCCTTCCGCCAGAGGTTCCATTCCAGCCGCAGAGGCTGTGGTGGGTACCTTCCATGCTTTCTGAGGCGTCAGGTGTGGACAAGCAGGAAGAGGCCTGGGCCCTCCCAGCCCCCGTCTAGGCCCACCTGGCCCCTTTCCTAGCAGAGCTGAGACCTTGACCTCACTCCCCACAGCCATGCCCATTCCTGTGGCCTCCTCTGGCCCCCATCCCCATCTGTTACTCACTGGGGCTGGTCTGCAGAAGCCACAGAGCCGTGGCCCAGCTCTCTCTCCCTGCCTCCTTGGCCCTGCCCAGTGAGGGGACTCTTGCCAGGGTCATTTCATTCCCCTCTTCTACTACACTCAGACACAGCCACCAAAGTAGCTTATTCTAGACTTAGCAGACCTGAGTGGGGAAGGTCTCAGGTACAACCCAGTCAGGGTATTTAGAGCCCTTTGGTCAGGAAGTCCTCCCTTGGATCTAACCACTGCCCCCAGGCTGCCAACATAATTAAGGCCCTCCTGTCACCGGCCCCTGGCCTGTAAAAGGAATTGCTAAGGATGCCCCTCAAGTCCCTTGCAGTTTTTGGAATCAGACAAGTATGGGTCTGAATCCACTCCCAAAGCTGGATGGCCTTGGGCAAATCACCCAACTTCTCTGAGCCTCATCTGCTTCATCTGTGAAAGGGGCACAGTGACACCAGCTGCCTTACAGGGTTGTTACAGGCACCCACAAGCCATCTACAAATGGCCAGGCCTGGAGCTTGCCACTCAGCCAGGCACGGTCGACACTTTGATTAAGGTGCCCAAATCAAAGTCAGCCTGCTCTGCTCCCACGTTAAACCCTGCAGATACCACTCTCTTCACAAGAAGCTTCTAGAGATCCCACTTGCCTTGACATTCAAGGTTTCCCAGAGCCTGGGCACAATCTAATGCCAGCTCCCACCCCAACCTTAAGTGTTACCAAGGACCTAAGGTATATCCCTGCCCCTCCTTCCTCTCCCCCACGGTCCACACCCAGTGCCAATGCTCCCTCTTCCAAGAAGTCTTCCATGACCTCGCCAGCCCACACTGATCCTCTTCTCAAGTTCCCCTAGCCCACAAATTCAGCTCTTGACATTTTCCACCTGGCAGCCACAGTTCCATTTTCACAAGCTCCCTAAGGCCAAGGGCCACCCACACTCACCAGCTGCTTGTTGAAATTCTGGACACACTGTTCAAACTGCTCATCCTTTGTCTCATCCGCCTTCCCCAGTTTCTGGAGGACCTGCCAAGGCAGAGGGAGAAAGAAAGTGTGTTACTCTGAGAAGGGAAGTAGCCAAACCAAGAGGGCCCCGTCACCAATACCGCAGACCCCTCCCCACCCCAGCCAGGGTCGGGTCTGGGAGGCCCATGGCCAAAAGCACCCAACCCAGGGCACCGGGACCATCAGAGGTCTTGTGGCTGCTGTGACCCCCGAGGGCAGGCCTGAGACCCTCTTCATCCTCTACACAGGGCTCACCCACCAGTCAAGAGGAGGAACTTAGGACAGACTTGCTGTAGTAAACGAAACAGGAGCATGAGGGGTCAGGCGCCCCTCCTAGCTGAGCTTACACTGCACCCCTGGGTGCTCCCCCCTCCACCCTGGCAGCTGAACATGAGGGGGCCAGTAGGGGCAGCCCCACCTCCCCACATGAGTCCTTTTTCTGGGCCCAAGGCTCTTAAATACCAGAGGGAGGGGCAGGGAAGTGACTGCCCCAGGACCAGGAGGGCAGGGAGGGTGGCTGGGCGTCAGGCTCTTGCGGTCCCTGGGAGTCAGCTCCCAATCTGACCAGAGTTTCAGCTGTGACCCATTCTAGCCCATATCTAGACTCCCTCCCACCCCTGGCACTCACACTAGCACACGTGCATTCACACACACAGGCACACAAGGGCACACACACGTGGGCTCACGGCCACACACTCTACTCCCCAAATTCCAGAGGCAGACTCGCCCCTCTGTGAGTCACAGCTGTCCCTTCTCAGCTGTGTCAGCAGAGAGGGCCTTAAGGACACAGATGGGGGGGGGGGTGAGTAAAGGCAGAGCGAGAGAGAGAGAGAGAGAGAGAGAGAGAGAGAGACCCAAGGCCGGGAGAGGGGGAAAGATCTAGAAAAAGAGGGAACCAGACCAGGAGCCTGAGAGGAAGCCCTGGCCCACCAGGTTCTCGCAGATTCCCCTCGCCCAGCTTCTGTCCCTCCAATCCCAGAGTCCTCTATGGGCAGAGAGAGAGAGAGAAAATAAAGAAGCAAGAAAGGGTGAGGGCAATGGAAAGACAGCAGAGAAAAACATGAGATGGGGGTACAGAAAGGGGATACTGAGGGAGACGGGAGGTGGGGTGTGCAGGGGTAGAGGGAGGCAAAGACTCCCCTCCACAGGCCTGGGCAGGCAAGCAAAAAGGACAACACCGAGATGACGGTCGGCATAGACGGCGGCCAAGACCCAGCAAGAATAACAAGTAAGCAGGTGGTAGTGGGTGATGGTGGCAGGTGGAGGAGACAAACAGGTGGGCCCCTGGCAGGGATGAGTACCAGATGGGGCTGGAATGCCAGGCCAGGGTCCTAGACCGAGGAATGCCCGGTCCCAGAACACAGCCTGGACCCTTCCCACCCCTGAATGACCCTAGGATGGCCTGTGCTGCTCCGCTCCCCCTCCCCCAGCTGCCCAGGAGCCAGGGCGAGGCCAGTCAGCTCTCAGACCCTCTCTCTCATCATGCAACGCATTCGGCCATCTCTTGCCAAACGCCCACTCTGTGCCCAGCCCTGTTCATCTCTGCTGGGGCAGCAAATCATTCAGACGTGTGTCCAGTCCCAAGAGAGAGGGAGGTACACAAGTCTGCAGGAGCCCAGGATGGAGATCCTATCCAGGCCGGGTAATCAAGGAAGACTTCCAGGGGGAAGTGGCAGCTCAGACAGAGGGGAGAGCTTGCAGCAAAGGCGAGGAGGACCAGAAAGATGAGGTCCGTTACTAGGGAATTTCAAGTCGCTCAAGATGACGAGAGGTCACAAAGGATGGAGAAGAAAGGTGAGAGTGGCAGATGCGGGGGCAGCGGCGCACACTGGGGAGCAGCCCGCCAACAACTTTGTGCTACAACAGTCAGGACACTCCATGGGTGAAGTGCAGCTGGATGCCAAGGGCCAGCACGGGACTGAGAGGAGAAAAGCAAAACCACGAGCAGGAAAACGGGCACTTTGGGACTTCCCTGGCAGTCCCGTGGTTAAGACTCCGCATTTCCAATGCATGGAGGGAGCACAGGTTCGATCCCTGGTCAGGGAACTAAGATTCCCACATGCCGCACAGCGTGGCCAAGAAAAGATTTTTAAAAAGAAGAAGAAAGTAAAAGAAAGAAAACGGGCACTTCCCTCAATCCACAGGCTCCCCATTCCCCTGGCAGCCTCATCCGGCTGTCCCCACAGAAACAGGGTGGAGCTGTGGGGATGCCCAGCCTACTCGGCACTGAGCACAAGTAGGTGACTCACCCCATCAACGCCCACCCCACAGCCCCGCCACCTCCAGAGAGAGAAATGGACCACCAGGTGGGAAGGAACCTGCAGAAGTCAGCAGGGGCCACTGGTGCAAAAACCATCAGGCAGGAGGACTGGAAAGTGAGCCTGTCCACCCCCTGCCTCTCCTTCTCCCTGAGGAGATGCCCTCCATCAGTGGGGTCACCAGTGCTCGCCCGGCTATCAGGGCTCCTGAGAACGCCAAGGCCCCGATGTACACACAGACATGCACACCTGGCCCCAGGCATCCGACACAGCTGTGGGTTTCCCCCAGCCAGGGGAAGCCACCAGAGAGAGCTTCAGGCCTCGAGAAAGAGGCCAGCCATGGTGAGACTACGCCAGGTGGTGAGAAGAACCCTGAGAAAAAGGGACTCTGACCGTCTCTCTCAACCTCAAGTGCCTTGTCGGAAAATAAAAAGGACGTTAGAGGGCTTCCCTGGTGGCGCTGTTATTAAGAATCCATCTGCCAATGCAGGGGACACGGGTTCAAGCCCTGGTCCGGGAAGATCCCACATGCCGCGGAGCAACTAAGCCCGCGACCCACAACTACTGAAGCCCGCGCGCCTAGAGCCCGTGCTCCGCAACAAGAGAAGCCACCGCAATGAGAAGCCCGCGCACCTCAATGAAAAGTAGTCCCCGCTCGCCGCAACTAGAGAAAGCCCATGCGCAGCAACAAAGACCCAATGCAACCAAATAATTAATTAATTAATTTTTTTTTTTTTTAAATAAAGGACATTAGCGCCCACCTTAAGGCTCATGTCTGTAAAACATCTCTGTACCTGGCCCATAGTAGGTACCCAAGTACAGGTGATCCCCTAAAAGACTTTCAGAACAGCCTTCACACAGTTGATGGCTGGAACTGACACAAACCCACGCTCCCAGTCCAGACAGATGGCATCCCAAGATGCCAGACAGAAGTCACGTGCACACACTCTGTACTTGAATGCACGGGCATGCATGTGCACAGAGCAGACTCCTATTCATCCTCCAAAACCTTGCTCAGGTGACATCTCCTCTGTGAAGCTGCCCCTGCCCTTTCCCTCCTCCACCCCACTCTGTACCACTTAGGGCCTGTACCAACTCTCCTCATTGCCTGAGTGTCTGCCTCTGGCCTTGCCCAAGCCTGCACAGCCTGAGATCGAGGACAGTGTCCAGCCCTCTCTGTGTCCCCAGCTCCGTTACAGGGCTGGGCACAGGGTAGACACACAACACGTTCTCATCTGAGCTGTGAACTTTGAGGTCAGAGTCTTGACCTTGAACAAAAGAGCCCATCTCTCAGTTTCCTGTTATGCAAAATGAGAGGGTCGTGTATGGAAAGTCCTCAGCCTGACACGCAGACAGCTCGCCGTGAAGGTGACTGTTAGGATCAGGGTGAGATCTGGCATTCACACGAATTTGAGGTCTGGTCTTGGGTAACGTGTGTTGGCTCGAGTGGGTCCCAGCCCTGCAAAGTCAATGTAGAAGGCGGTGACCAGCACGGATCCATGTGACCTCAGGCTAACTGCTTAACTCGCTACACCTCAGTGCCTGCCTCTGACACGGGAGTAACTGTACCCACGGCACCGTCGAGGCTCAGGGCATCGCCCAGTGAGTGTGTGCTGGCCTTGGCCTTGTTTATTGCTCACTGTACCCATCCCACTTTACAGACAAGGGGAGGAGGGCACACAGCCTGGGTCCTCGTCCTCAGGGGGAGCTCCCAGTGTGGCTACTGGGGGAAAAACAAGCTGAGCACCACCTGCCCCAGGCCAGGGACCAGGACAAAATTTGGTGCAGTAAAGCTCCACAGCACCAATGGCTACCTGTTTGCCACCCTCCATAGCTGGGCCTCCTGCCACGCCCCAAACACTGGGGAAGAGGCCTTTCTGACCAGCCTCTGGGGTGCCCAGACTGCACCCGATCACCCTGCCACCTAAAAGCCGCTGGGCCATGCCCGATCTGTCCCCACCCCCACAGAGACCCCAGGGTGGCTCTGTCCAGCCCTCACACACACAAGCTCACAGCCCTCTTCTCGCTGAGAGGGGAGCCCCAGACTCTCCTGTGTCACACTAAGCGCACGCTCATCACGCATGTCTCCCCTGTAATAAACAAAGGGGAGCCTTTTTGACGATGCGACAGATGACACCAAGGTCGCAGTTGCTCAGCCTAAGCCCAGCGGTCCAGGAAGCCTTATTGGTGCCACCCCGTCTGCTCTCACCACATCCTCAGTGCAGCTAGATAGCAGAGGGTGTGGAGAGCCTCAGAAGGACCAGCCCCGGGCAGGGCAGAAAGAGGGGAGCTGGTGGCAGAACGAACCTCCCCGACAGCGGCCATGGGTCAGCCTGTCTGGGCTGGGCTGTGACCCAGGACCAGGGGCCCCTCCCTGGGTGGGGCAGGAGGCTCACGGGACACGGCTGAGTGCCTCTAAGTGCCAGGGCTCAGAGACAGCTTCCTGTAGCTGGGGTGCTGCAGGGGAGGGGGGTGCCTCTTCCCCAGCCCCTCTCATGACCCAGAGGCCTCATCTGGGCCATCTTGCCAGGCCCCCTCCTCTCCTCCTGGATGGCCAGTGGCCCCAGGGGACAGACCAGCTGTGCCACACACCCGGCCACCAAACCCAGAAAAACAGAAAGGGCCCCCGGGGCCAGTCTCGTTCGAACTAGGGACCAATTTTCGCTCACTGCCCACCGAGCACGGCACTTGACAGACACCGCGGGCCCCCTCCTCACAGGTAAGTGTCCTTGGCTCCACGTGACAGATGGCAGGCAAATCAGG